GGCGTGTTCAGGGATCAGTTTTTACGTTTTGTCCACGGTCCCACTTGGCTCCTCGCATCACCCAAAAACAAGAAAGAAAATAATAGCATGGAAATAAAGACAGGATCTGACCGTGGTTCAAAAGGAAAAAAAAAAGGAAAACCCAAGTTCTCTGTCTATTCACAAAAGGTCAGATTAAGGCTTTCGAGTTTTGACCCGTGAACGTGTACCAGTAGAGAGTCTCTACTCCTGGAAAAAGCAAACAGAACCTGTAAGGAACGGGCAAACCATATGTAAAGACCGAACATGTGCGTACAGGATGTACCAGTACTATATACATACGTTTCTGCGTTGAATTTTCCGGTCAGCACGAGTCAAAGCAGCGTGCCAAAGCAGCGTGCGAACTGCCAAAGCAGCGTGCGAACTGCCTGCGTGCCGCGGCCGGGTTCTGCTCTCGGCAGCGCGAAGCGTAGGGCAACGGACAAGGAATAAACAATCTGTTCGGGAGACCGTATCGTATCGTGGATTATTTACTGCTGGCTGGTTTGGTGTGAGAAAAAAACACTGTTTCTAACTGAAAATTTACGATCATTGAACAGGCTGAATGTGGCTTGGCGCTCGCAAGATGCCTCTGACAGCGAACAGGCTGAATGTGGCTTGACGCTCGCAAGATGCCTCTGACCGCGCGTCCAGCACGCGCGATGGGCTGCGACCGACCGCGCGTCCAGCACGGCAGGCAGTCGGCGGGCGGCACCGGACGCTGGTTTGCGCGGGGGTAGGCGGCGAAACGAAACCGCCCGGCACCAGGCGAGCCTCCCCTCCCTCCTGCGTTCCGCGGCAACCCGCGTGCGCGTCGACCCGACCCACGGCCTTTCCGTCAAAGAAAAAGGTCACACGCCACACGCAACCTGTCACGCACGGTATGGCTGGGTGGTCTCCGCGGCCCGCCCGTCCTGCCCACCGACCGACTCGCCGCGTGTCTTTCCAGATAGTCCGGCTGCCCGCTCAAGCCTGTACCACACTGCCGAGCGACATCATTTCGTTTCATGTTTTCATGGGAGAAAAGCGTTTCTTGGACTCGCGATTTCAGCCTTAATAAATAATAATCGAGCTATTAACCCTACAAAACAGAGTGCCGCCTGTGGAATGGTCTTTGACGAAAGCCCAGTCTTTTTGTTGTGGTTCATGGTTGATGTTCAGTCGTAACAAACCAGCTGTTTGAATTTGCCAAGTTTGAAGAATGGTCGTTCAATTGGCAGCAGTTCGATCAGCTGCTACGTCAGACGCGGCAGACGTCAGCCGAAGGAGCAATTGAAAGACCAGACTCTGTACCTTCACGTATGCAGCTACGGATGCATGAGACCCATTCATACGCTACCTAATCTTCTCTTATACTCGGTATTTCTCAAAAAAAAAAGTACTTCTGTTTTACTCGTCGTTTTACTCTTTCGGTCGCACCCAATAACCCCTTTCTAGTGACACAGAGGTACGGTAGAACAAAATCTTACATTTTTATAGTAAAAACTCTAAAGTCTATGTTCCCATTTCATTGTTCAATTCAAATGTCATCCGTCACAAAATGCAAAATTGACTGCAACCAACATAGCCTCAGACATTGGAAATCAACGGCGCAGAAGAACTATCTGGCCTAAACATGTTTCCCATGTTCTCATCGACAAAGCACCTACGTTAACAGTGTCACTCACAAACCAGCATTGCACGCACACAGAAAGTTTGAGCCGTTCTTTGCAAAGATCACCCAAGTCCACCTCCCTACCTATCTTGATGCTTGGCAAATCAGGCACGGAGAAACTGTCTCGGGAGTCAAAGGCGCAAGGGGACGCGGCTACTAGACAACCGTCTAAAAGTATTCCGTGTCTGCGACGACAGTGCATCTGGGGGGAGGTGCCTGGATGTTCGCACACACATTGCGCTTTTTGCCTCAGTTTTCTGGCAGGAAGGCACGCTCTCGCATCATAGCCACCGAATCATGCTGAAATTTTTTCATACGAACCGGGTGCTTTGCTTCCTTGCCAAGAGCAAGGAATCCGAGTACTTGTTTATGCGTTCGCTAGCTCCAACCGACCACGTACACGCCGCTTCAACTTTTCTAGATTATCTTTAGGTATTGACGACGCTGAGTCTACTGGAATCAGGAGTTGTGTTTCTTGCGTCTGGGATGTACAGGAATTACTCAAATGCGCACACGTCGCGCCCTTGTTATTGATTTCTACGGATATATTTCTTATGCGTGTGGGTACCTGAACGTGAATGGATGAATGCCTGTTCCGTCCAGATACATCAGAATAATAATGTTTAGGCACATGTCTGGAATGTCCTCCAACGACCCCAATAATCGTAGCACCATACTGTGCAGCAGTTTTCACGAAATCACCAGCAGCGGCAGCAGGACAGGACTCTGCACGGCGCGCCTATATCAGTTTTCTCAAGGATAAATCAAATTAAACCCTCTAGATAGGACTCTAGAGTGATGGTGCATGTAGAACAAGGAACTCTAATCAGCAACAACCAAATATATATGATCACACTGTAATTAAGAATTTGTTCAATATCTAACTAAAGTCTGTCTGTGTCTAAACATAAATACGGTGTTCTAACTTAGGGCCTGTTTAGATCCATTAGCAATACGGAGGCCAGACGTCGTGGCCGGCCCAGCGATAGGCGGTCGGCCTGGCCGGCTTTGGGTCGGCCTGGCTGGCTTTGGGCACTCGGCCTAGCCAGCTCTGGAAGCCGGCTCAGCAGGGGTAGCGCCATCTTCATCTCCTTTTTTGCTTTGTGTTTTGCATTGTGTTGCACCCAATATTTTCTAGCACGTTCTTGATGTCAGTAATTTGGTGGTGTAGCCCAATTTTTGTACCGGGACGTTTTTGCATGTCAACACATTCCAAACTAGAGTAGGTAGATAATTTGAGCTGGGTTTTAAGAGTTCATATTGTAAGATGTCTAGTTTTGAAGTTTTAAGGAGAAAAATCAAACTACGAGGATAGGTATAACAGACTTTTTTTCCCAAACAAAACTACGAATGGTTTTGGCCCGGTTAAAGAGGTCGGTGGCAGGAACGAAAGATTGCGCCCACTGGGCCACTGGGGCGACGCCGCTGCGGCGAACGGGGTATGGCCGTATAAGTTGGTCGGCCGTGGGCCGTGGGCCTGTAACCAGTAGAATTAAGAACCAGCCCGAACAGCCGGAGCTCGTGCTCCGCCACCTTCTCAAGTCAAGAGCTCGTGCTCGCTTCAGCCGCCGTCCTCCTCTCCTCTGATATGCCGCACTTCACCTTCATGTTTTTGTCTGTGCCTTGTCGCCTTCGCCCTTCGCTGTTTAGCGGTGGCGGTGGAGAAATGCCACGCGAACCACCCCAGTCCCTAGCCGCGGGGGCAGCCTGCCACGGAGACAGAGGCACGGACATCCAATCCCGTGGCATACAAGCGTCGCTTTCGGGGATTGGTGGTTATGTCCACGAGATGGGGTACAGTACAGAGGCAATACGACGGCCGCTGCAAGGCGGCGAGGCAGGCCTCAATCGGTCCGGGAAGCCAGCGTATCACGACGCTTGAAGCTCGCGAGGCGGCGGCACCATTTGAGCCCCCTCGGGGTGTGGGAGATAAATTGCGGCAGAGCAGCTTGTGGCGGAGGCGGAAGAAACGCCCGCCACACATTCGACCCTAAAAGCTGTGGCGAATGCTTCTCGTGGCTATGGCGAGCCTAACCTCGGTACTCAACCAAACACCAGCCTAAGTAGTTGTGGCAAGCCTAACTTAAGGTGTGGCAGATTATGGCCCCTTGTCTGACTCTTGCTTCAGCTGGCTGCCGCCGCTTCAGTAAGGGCATGTTTGGTTCGTCTAGTAGCTATTAAATTTAGTAGCTTTTAGTCACTTTAGTAACTTTTTAACCAAACGTTATAACTGAATGTGACTAAAAAAGTTTTAGTCCTCTCTAATAATTCTGGAGTTACTAAAAATAACTAAACCATTTAGTACTAAGTTTACTGGCTCGAACTAAACACCCCCTGACTCCAGTGCGTGGACGGAGACGAACACGCATAGGGAGGCATCTCCAGTGTGTGGACAGAGACGAACTCCAGTGTGTGTGGGAGATAAATGGCGGCAGAGCAGCTTACGGGGTGTGGGAGATAAATGGCGGGGAGCCGGGGAACCATTCGAGCGACGACGAACGGGGTGCCACCGCGATTCACCAAAGGCTTGCTGGGATTTCCCCTCGGCGATCCACCCACAGAGAAAGAAGTTCTAGGTGATTTTATCCAGGTGAGAAAATTTACTTGATTCTTTTCTTGTTCGGGTAGATATATATGTGGAGGGCTGATATGATAGTTAATTAGATTGCTGCTGCAGAATAGGTATTAGATTGCTTCTCGTTTTGTTTATGTTCATAGATACTAGTATTTTTGGGCTAAAACGTAGCATGAGTTGTAGTCATTGTATTTATTTCCCTGATTAGAGGTAGTCACCTTTCATGTTTCTGTCAAATTAAGAACATAGGGCTTTGATTCTGCGAGGTCAGTCCATAATGATCTCAAAGTTCGTCAATCAGTTACATGTTCTAAGTACCAAAATATAAAGTTGCAGATGATTTGTACTCAGCGTCTTAAGAGCATTTAAAAACTGCAACAAGCATCTTTAGGCAACTCACATATGATTGCAGCTTCTTTTCCTGTCCCCTTAGTTTGGGTGCTTTTAGAAGAAGAATCAGTGTAGGATCTTTTCTTTACTAAATAATTCGCTTTGTGCTCACCACGCAGCTACTTAATATAATGAGGCATCTTGGTCTAATTGCATTCTTCTTCTTAATATAATGATTCATGGTTCTCGTGCGTGTTTTACAAAAACATTGTAGGATCTTTTCTTTAGTAAATAATTCTGCACGATTAAGACGTCTGAACTAGAGGTGCACTATGCGTCCTTTAATGTTCATGTTGTCTTTGTTCTCGACCTTTCTCAGGATGCAAACCTCATTTCTGCAGTCTGATTGTAGGAAAGGGAGCCATGGACTCCACAGGCCAGTTTTACAGAAGTCCTCTGCTAGAAGAAGACAACTCCGTCCAAGAGGTTCTCTCTCTCCCTCACGGCCTCACCCCCTCAGTCCCTCCGTCCTCCCTCTCATCATTTTTTTTTTGAAAACATCCTCCCTCTCATCATGTGTTTGGTCCCCAGGTGCTTACAAAAGAGCTTAGTATCCTCCATGCCAGCCTTCTAGGCCAGAGAAAAGTCCTGATTTGTTTCGGAGGACCGTTTGGCCTGCATTTTCTTACTCTGAAAAATAATTACAACAACAACAACATAGCCTTTCAGTCCCAAGCAAGTTAGGGTAGGCTAGAGTTGAAACCCACCAAGAGCCCCAAGTCACATTATTTGGGTTTCATCTCCATTAAAGTGGCTAAGTTTTTACATTGGCACGCCGCGCCTAACACAACCCTCCTCCTTTACCAGGGCTTAGGACCTGCTATGCTGGGACACCAAAGGCGCCCCATCATAGGCGGAGTTACTCTGAAAAATAATTAAACAACAGAATACTGGCCTGGCCTGGCTCTTTTCTCATTCTAACGCTGCCTAGGCCCAGCTTGAAACTGCTATCGGGGTTGGGCTTGAGTGTTCTCCAGGTCGTGTTTTTTCTCCTTGTGGCTTAGGTGCAGCTGGAGCATGCTTTCGGTGTAATGCTTGTTCACAGATGTGCATTCATTTGTGCACATGTATTGATTCTAATTATTTTACACAAGCACGTCCATTACTTGCTGTAGTGTCTGTAAATCTGGATTGTTGATATGATCAGCTACGTAGCTTTTTTAGCTGCAGGGTTGGAACAGTACTTCCTTGTTCTCTGTAGTTCTGTATACGTGAACAGCTTTATAATTTTGGTTGTTCAAATTTTAAAGTATGATCACTTTTATATACCACATCCAAGACTGTAAGAACATTTCTGGAGTTCATTCTTGTTTACTATAAATACTACTTAAGTAATTATAAATTACTTAGCTACATGTAAACTATTGTGCATCCCATTGTCCTTTCAGTGTGGTTGTATTCTAATTGCATCAAATGGATATAGCATTGTTTTCTGGTAACTGGCCTTTTGGTATTGTTCAACACTAAGTCATTGCATGTTTCAAGAAGGAGCTGATTATTTTAATACCAATCTTTATTGAAATATTTGCTTGGCTTAATTCTTTTGAGTCACAACTGAGGACCACAAGTAAAGAGGATTCTGAAGAAAATCTGGAAGGGGGAAGAAATAGACATGTGCTAACTCTTTTGATTCTTCTTGTTGATCATTATTTTTAAAAACTGATCCTTGGGTGTTCCCTCTTTTTTTTTTCTCAACTAATCACTGTAGCAATATATTTTCAGCGTAACCATACAAAATGGTAGTTCTGTGTTTTCTTCTTTATACATGATTAATTTGACTTCTCTTACCTTAGTTCGTGGTCCTGGGTCCTTTAAAAATTAAAATAATGTTCATTACATTGCTTTTAGCTGTGAGAACATTCTTCTCAAAATTAGATGGGTAAGACTACCATTTTGGGTTCAATTTCTGAATGCAGGATTCTGTAGAATGCACAGGTGATGGATCTGTTTGCTTCCGTGGACATCCTGCTTCCAAAAAACATACAGGAAAATGGAAAGCTTGCTCCTTAACCATATGTAAGTGTGAAAAAAGTTCCATTGTTCAATCATCCTTTGCTTTGGAAGACAAGTAGGACATGAAATGGTGAAATTTCGTTGAATTTAAAAATAGTTTTTTATGCATGTGCTCATTATTCAATACAAGATCCGACATGAAACGAAATGCACTGTTGCAGTTTGTTCATTCTGCTCGTACCTGGCCATTTCTCCAATTTCAAAAAACCTAGTGAGTTATCTCACAAAAGTGCTACATGAAACAAATGTGGCTGCTGCAAGAAATGTTTCAACTTGGCAAGGCACTAGTTTCCTTGTACCTCTGATTGGAGCGTTTATAGCTGATTCATATCTGGGGAAGTACTGGACGGCTCTGATCTTCTTCACAATCTTCAATACTGTAAGTGCTAAAAGTATCCATGCTATAATTGGGCACATGTGCAATAGGATAAGATTCTTCCTTTGAAAAAAACCCCACTTCAGAGAGATCCAAAGTATGCAGAAGAGTTGAAACCTTATTTTGGTGAAACAACATAGTTGTATTTTAATGGATGCATGATAAAACCAATCTGGCTTCCCAAAGTAGACTTCTCGTTACTTGCCTGTTGTGATATACATGTCCATTCGACACTTGAGTGAACTTAACATGCTTTCTTTTTTTCCCTTTTGATTGACATCTTTTTCCTATTCTGTTGATTTATTTAGGGAATGATGATGTTGGTCCTGTCAGCAACATTTCCATTGATCTCTACTGATCCACATGTTTGGCCTGCTTAGACATATTCAGTCTCATCTCAGCACATCATATTCTTTTTTGGCCTGTATATGGTTGCTATAGGGTATGGTGGACAGAACCCCTGTGTTGCATCCTTCGGTGCTGATCAATTTGATGATACTGATGATGAGGAGAGAACAAAAAAGAGCTCTTTCTTCAATTGGCACCATTTCGCAATCAATGCTGGTGCACTGATCTCAGGGACTATTATCGTGTGGGTCCAAGACCATGAAGGTTGGCTCTGGGGTTTTGCCATACCTGCACTGTTTCTCATTTTTGGTGTGGGTAGTTTCATCTTGGGCTCTAGTGTGTACAGATTTCAGAAACCTGGAGGTAGCCCTTTTGCAAGAGTGTGTCAAGTTATTGTTGCGGCTACTCGCAACTTTGATAAGGTCTTGCCAAGCGATTGTTCACTTCTTTATGAGACTCCAGGGCAAGGTTCAGCAATTGAAGGAAGCCGGAAATTGGTGCATACAACTGGATTTGAGTAATATTTTGTTCTGAGTTTTTTTCCTTAACCTTATATGATCCATTTATTTACGTTTGCATTTCCATATAAGTTTAGATGATTAGTTTATTTTGCAGATAATACTTTCTTATATCATGTATAAATAGCATGTGAAACCCTACAGAAAAAATATTCTTGCACACTGGATGAAATTCTAGAATCTAGAGTAGTAAAAATGGATGTATTGTAATTTGTACATAAACCATTTGCCATTTCTTTTATTTGTTTGTGCCATATGAGCAGTGATTTGAGTTATGTTTAATTTGATAGAGCTTGGTCCGCCTTTGCTTCAATCGATACTTTAATTCTTATATGACTAATTTTTGTATGGGATTCCACGCAATTCCACTTTACTAGTTCTGAAGTGTTAATTTAGGTCGGCTAAAAATTGCTTCAGGAACTGGTATTTATTGACACATGGCTAGGATATGCAAAATTTGAAATCTTGTTTTTATTGGATGACCTTAAATGTTAATGCTGACATGTTTGGTTTATGATTATGTTGAAATTCATGGAGCACAACCATAGATCGCAATGAATCACATAAGTTAAAAAATATAAGAGCTATAGAAATGTATTCTTAATATCATCTCCAAAGGAATGTTGCCTGTGACATCTTTAGTTCTGTTGATGATTAATACAATTTTAAATTCTCATGCACTTTGATTTGCTCAATAGGAACCCTGCATTCTTACTAAATCTAAGCATTTAGAGAAGTTAAAATGCACTAATGGTATGGCCAATTGTTTTTCTTCAGTTAGTATTAGTAAGGTAATATTGTTCCTTTTCTCAGGTTTTTTGATAAAGCTGCAATTGTGACATCCGTTGGTTGTGAATCTGTTGGCCGGCTTAATGCATGGAGAGTCTGTACTGTCACTCAAGTAGAGGAGTTCAAAATTTTGATCAGGATGCTCCCTATTTGGGCTACAATGGTTTTATTTGCTACAGTTCTGGCACAGATGTCTTCAACATTTATAGAACAAGGGATGGTCATGGACAGACACGTTGGCCCGTTGGAAATACCTGCAGCATCATTCCAATCTGTAGATATCATCACTGTTCTTGCCCTAGTTCCGATCTATGAAAAAATCCTTGTTCCAGTGTTCAGAAAATTCACTGGCATGGCTAAGGGCATTACCCCTCTGCAACGCTGTGGGACCGGTTTATTTTTATCCACACTCTCAATGGTGTCAGCAGCATTGGCGGAGGGCAATCGGTTGCAGACTGTACAAGACAGAGGCTTGGTGGGTCAGAATGTGGCTGCGCCAATGAGCATCTTGTGGCAAGGACCCCAGTACTTTCTGATCGGTGCTGGTGAGGTGTTCTCACTAATTGGGTTAAACGAGTTTTTCTACGAGGAATCGCCTGATGCCATGAGAAGCTTGTGTCTAGCATTCTCACTCGCTAACATCTCGGCTGGACATTACCTTATTTCATTCATCATTTCTCTTGTTCCTGTGTTCACGGCCAGAGGAGACAGCCCAGGGTGGATACCTGATAACTTGAACGAAGGGCATTTGGATCGATTCTTCTGGATGATGGCTGGTCTGTGTTTCTTGAATCTGTTAGCTTTTGTATTCTGTGCAATGCGGTACAAATGTAAGAAGGCGTACTGAGCACAAGTATATAGGTTGTGTTTAATTTGCACTCTGCGCAATGAGTTTGTTTTAACTATTTTAAGACATTCAGATTTGAGAGCGCGAAGTGCCAGTTTGGTAAACGATGAAATCTTTTCCCATTGAAAACCCAATTTCAGTACAAACCATGTTCACCATTAGATTATGCTAGAGCAATAAATAGAGAATATGTCGTACTGCAATGTCAAGTCGGAATCGTGCGACGAAGGCAACCGGCTTTTGCACTTGAGATTTGCCAGCACTGAGCCTATAGGCGGCAAAACCTCAAGTGATGCTCGGATTTGGATTGGATGTGTTCTAGAGCTGACCCCTGTCTGTTGAAGCACCTGAATTCCTTGCGTGCAAGCTGTTGATGAGACTGGGAAGTACTGTAACATTATGTTTCATTGCGTGCAACTATGGATACATGAGACACATTCATACGCTACCTACGGATATCGGGAAGTACTGTAATTCCTTCCGTGCAATTTGGATTGGTTTTCTTATTCGCCCCGTTCGCTTGAGCTACTTTTTAGCCATGAAACAATGTTTTTCTCTCACAATATTTCAGTATAAGCATCAGCATAAATCAAATTTTAGCATAAACGAACAGGGTGATTATGTTTTATAAATATATTTTGTAATAAAGTTGTGTTTTGGAGACTAGACCAGAAACTATTTACTTTAGGGTAAATATTTTTTCCGACCTCCAAGCTTCATGACAATCCGATTTTCAATCCTAAACACAAAATCGATTAGCGGACACTCTTCAATTATCAAAACAGATAAATTTGGTCGACTGGTCGACTAGTTTTATAGATGGTTTTCTATGTTCTAAAATAATAAAAATCTATTTTGATCTCAAAAATTTATAACTAATTTATTTTCACTCAGAAAATATGAAACTAGTACTAATGTTTTTTTCCTAAAAATGTTATCTTGCTATTTATGATGCATGTATAGTTATTGCGAACTGGCCTATTTTTGTTCTTATTGCTTGTAGTCGTGCTCATTATTTGTTTAAAATAAATAAGATCTAAATAAGTCTAAATGGGCACCAATAGATAGATAACATTTCTTGAAGAAACTTGGAAGTAATTCTATATTGAGTAAAATGCACCGGAGGTCCATTAACTTTCGCTGGGGTGTCATCTAGGTCCATCAACTTTGAAACTGTATTTTTGGGTCCATTAACTTTCGTTTTGTGTCATATAGGTCCATCAACTTTGAAACTGCATTTTTTGTCCATGAACTTTTAAAATGGTTCACTGCAGGTCCACGCATGCATACATGCACGTCGGCTTCGGCCTCCGGTCTTTGCGTCGGTGGAGCTGCAAACTGCAAAGCAGTGGTCCAGCCACTACCGTGCTATGCGTGTGCGCTGCGTGGTTGGCGCTCCGTGTTCCTCAAAGGCGTCATCTTTGGGGGTGGGACGGTGTGTTCGTGCGGCGGCCAGACGTGGGTGCTGGCGCGTGCCTAATGGTGCTCGGCCCTAGGCTCGCGAGAGCTGGGTGCGGCGTGTCTGCAGGGTGTGTGGCCGCGGTCGCGGGTGACCGGTGGCGATGGTGATGCCGCGATGTGCCGGCGAGGCGTCCGCGTGCTGGTCCGTGCCCCTAGGTGAGGGTCGGTGGAGACCCAGTGCTTGTGCATCGGTGTGCTGAGGCACCACAGCCTGTGTGTGCGTGCGTGTGATGGCGAGGAGGCAGCGACAAGCGTAGCTGTCGGCCATGGCTTCGTGGGCGCGGTCCAAAGGACGAATAGGCCGAAACGGTGACCAAGGGTCGAAGGACGGGAGTTCGGGTTTGTGCAAGTGCATGACCACGATCCGGGCAGCGGCAAGGCAAAGGCCTGTTCGCCGCCGTGCTATGCGTGTGCGCCGCAAGCGCGGCTTGGCACGCCGGGCAACAGCATGGTGAGGCCGCGGGGGTGGGGGAAAGCTACGGTGTGGTGGATATGCGGTGCGCGTGTGCAAGGCTGCGGTCACCGCGTCAGTGTGCTAGAACGGTGGGCGGCCAGGAAAGGCTACGCCTTGGCCTCCATGCAGCCAGGTGAGGGCCAAGCCAAGGTGTGCAGGTGGTTCAGTGGCACGGGCGTGGTCGCGGCACGCCGTGGTCAAGGTGGCCAAGCCGTGCTCGTGCGGTGCGCGTGTGTCGGCGCCAGGGGTGTGCGGTGATGGCGAGACGGTGGCGGTAGCAAGGCCACGGCGTCCGCAGGTGCCCGCGACGGCGTCGCCTAGGTTAGGAGCTGCCAAGTGCAAGGCTGTGCGTGTGCGCCGCAAGCGCTGAGCTATGACGGGGCGCGGGCGAACGTGTGTCCGTGTGTGCGGTGTCCGTGACCGCGTCGCTGTGCATGACGTGCGTGTGCGAGCGCGCTACTCGCGTTTGTGACGGCGCTCGGCCGTGCGGCGACCGTGGGTGGCTACCGGCGCGGTAGAGACGTCGTGCCGTGCACGATAGGCAAATAGAGCCGGCGTCAAAGGACGGGACAGGCAGGCTTTCGAGGAACGAATAAGGGCTGGGGCTTTGGAGGTCCAGTGCAGAGGCGGTGATGTCCCCGTGCAGGACGGGCTCGGTGCAGGCAGGGCCGGTGCAGAGGCGGTGATGTCCCCGTGCGTGGCCGCGACGTCGTTGGCGCACGGTCGTCGCCTGGTCGCAACACTGCGAGGGCTCGAACGGAGTGGCGTCGCGACCTCGTGGTTCGGTTCCGAACGCAAATCGACGCTGTGACGTGCCCCGACACGCCGCGACGAAGCAGAGGTGGTTGGCGTGCTCTCGTGTGGTGGGATTGGCGAGGACGGGGACGTCGGTGAACGCGACGTCGTGCCCTGCACAGCTTGCCGTGGCAGCGTGATGTGGTCAGAGCGGCGAGGCTAGGTGCAGGTGGAGCTCCGTGGCGGCGTCGTGGTGCTGCTGCTTTGTCTCGGTGACACCGTGGTTGGTGCCGTCGCAACCTCAGGGGTAAGGCCATGGCGTTCTGGGAATGGAAACGGACGGAAAAGGCACGTGCGCCGTCACGTTCACCGGGTCAAGATCCTGTTCCGTCCGGCAGACGAGCGACGGCGGCGAGTGCAGGCATGGCTCCACCGACGCAAAGACTGGAGGCCGAAGCCGACGTGCACGTGCATGCATGCATGCGTGGACCTGCAGTGAACCATTTTAAAGGTTCATGGACCAAAAATGCAGTTTTAAAATTGATGGGCCCAGATGACACAAAATGAAAGTTAATTGACCCAAAAATACAGTTTCAAAGTTGATAGAACTATATTACACCCCAGCGAAAGTTAATGGTTTTACTCTTTTATATTCGTTGGTGCAGATGGTGATGACGCCATACATTCTGACGCTCATTGTTTTACTCGCTATTCTGACAGCATACGATTTTGGTGGCTTACGATTCTAACGCTCATTATTTCCGATGGCGTCAGAATAGTGAGGACGTCATACTATATTTGATATCGTAAGTAGGAATGAAAATGAGACGGATATTTCTTGATATCCATCCGTCCTTAAAAGGGTCAAGCTACTTATTACACGTAAGGAATTTAGGTGCTTCAACTTTATTACAAAATATTTATAAAACATAATAAGACAACCTAAGAATTGCACTTGTTACTAGGAGTATATCCTTAGATTATTTATGCAGAAATATTGACACGCTTAGGTACTGTTTGGATACAAAGTATTTTTAGAATTTTAGAAAAATACTATAATTTTGTGACATGCTTTGGTTTCAGAGTGTCATGAAGTGTTTGGATACAAGGCTTATGATTTTGAATACCATGGTATTATTAAAATTGTAGTCTTTTTGAAGTTTTTTAAAACTCCATTGTAGACATCTTTTTTTCTAAACCATAATTTTGCACACCAATATGCTCTAAAACTGTAGTTTCTTGATACCACAAATTTTAATACTAAATATCCAAACAAGGCCTTATCCGCAAAAATGCAAAATTACCCCCCTAATGGTTAGCATACAGAACTAGCGAATTGCACACAGCTTCACGTGAAAGTTAAATCAACCATTTGGAAAGTATTTAACACTTTTGCAATTACGTAGTTTGAGGAGGATGTGGATGTAATATCGCCAACGAGTTATTCCCAAAGCTCCAACAAGTTCGGCGACTCTGCTGGTGCTCGGCAGCGAAGTCATACAAAACTCAAAACCATATAAGCTCGTTGATTCGTCGTCTCTGCTTGGCGAATCAGTATTAATATTAGTTGCAGCAGCATCAATTGCCGAAGAAGCAATCACTGATCACCCTTCAAGGCTCGAAGCTTTCCCTTACTCCTGGAGAGAGAAGCCTCCACGGCTTCAGCAGCTGCATCCATGGAGTCGTCGTTGGAGGAGGAGCGGCGGCAGAACCTGCTGGTGCGCGCGACGGAGCCGGAGGTACTTCACCACTATTTCTGAATGGAGATTTTGTTCCTTTTCCTGAACTTTTGGTGCACCAAGATTCAGAATCCGTAGGGGGTTCTTTTCTAATCCCCTTTAGCTTCTTCTTTTGGTTAAGTCCCGCTTGATTGCAAATGCTTAAATTGGTCAGAATCGGAAGAGAAAGGAGGAGGAAACTACACTTCGATTGCTCAGTTCCTGGGATTCTTGGGATCGCTTGGACCTTTGAATTTATTAGCGTGTGCTTCTGTTTGCTGGATTGCAAATTCAATAGTCATGTGGAAGGAAAATACCAATGGAAAAGGGGGGCACTGAACAAATGAAAGATAAATAGGATATATCTTGGAATAATGGATTGGATGTAGTAGGTTGCTACACGCAACAGTTTGAGGACTATAGGCCGATTGACTTGTAAAAGTTACTTGTGGAATGCTCCCAAAAATAACTTTTTTGCTCTTAAAAAGGTACTTATGGAAGTGAACCAAATCGGTTTTCTTGAAATTTATTTATTTTTCATTACTACAAGATACACTGATGTTGCCTTGATTGAGAGCTTTGATGTCTAATTTGATTGGTAGTGGGTAACTTTTCTGAAGACTTGATTGAAACAGTTGGAGTGGAATGGGTTACACGTGTTTGACTGAAACGTGAATGGTTTAGACCCGTTCATCTATTCTTGTCATAGTCATTTAGGTTACGGGTTACTCAACTTCTAATCCACCCTCTGCAAAAGAAAACCTTTACTTTTTCGATCAAAATATTGTTTTTTGAAGAATTAGAAAAATCGTTCAGTATACTATTTCTTGTTAGTAGTAATTATACAGCCAGTATTCAACTGTGGAATAGTTCCCTACTAGTTTATGCTCTTAGAAAAATAAAGTTTAGCTGTAACGAACTTTAGGAACAGGAAAAGAGGATATCTGCTATGCTCAGCTGTTCAATGTGTCGATTAATATTCGAAGGCAGTTACCAACCTAACTATGGACCAAACTTTTTTTGTTTTTTTCTTTGGAACAATAACAATAAAAGTTCCTTCACCACTTTTGTTGAAAAAAAATACTTACATAAGTGAGATTAGATGAACAAAGATGGGAACTGGTTTTTTTCTGAAAGGTCAGGGAACTGAGATTTAGATAATAGATTTAGCATTATTGCTAAAATATTCCAGGTGTCATGTGCGGACGGACGTACGCAAGGCGCAGGCGCGCCCGCGACGTACGCCGCGCGGATGAGCGCGCAGAGCGCGCGGTCCACCAGCCCGAAGGGGCAACTTCCAGTGGCTAGAAATCAGGGATTGGATTAGAGGCTGTTTTGGTTAGTCCTATAATTAGGGAAATTCCTTCCATAGTTGGTTGAGCCATTGGCTATTTATTCCTGTAAGCAGGGAAGAATGAATTAAGCAAGATTAATCTCCTATTCTCTTCTTCCTCCACGCCTCCTAAGCCCAGCCGGTTGAGAGGGGTATAACCTCCACCCTGGAAGACTCAGCCGGAGACTACGAGCTTCGTAGTCGAGGGCCAGCTACCCTAAACTACAGTGCCCTTGACACCAGGTGAGGCCATAGCAATTGTCCTGGACATGTGAGGTTTTTTACCTTGTGGGTACTCCCTCCGTCCCAAAATAAATCAATTCCTAGAATCACCTAAAGTCATTTTTTCTTAGGTTTGACCAACTTTATAGGAAAGAGTAACAACATCTATGACACCACATAAATACATGAGTAAAATGCACCGGAGGTCCATTAAATTTTAAGGAGGTATCATCTAGGTCCATGAACTTTTAAGTATCTAGTGATACTAATTTAGTCTCATAAATATTGGTGCTCTTTTCTATAAATTTGGTCAGATCTAGAAGTTGATTTATTTTGGATGGAGGGAGTATATAAAGAGGTCTAAGCTCTCCAATCATGTTGGAACATTCATTTTGAAGTAATGATGATTTGTTCTTTCTAGTTCTAGTTTATATTCATGTTGTCTTTCTAAAACTACTCTTGGAGGATATCTTGCCATTTGATAAGAGATGTTTGTCCTCGTTTTTCCTGGAGTAGTTCTCCTAAAATGCCACAGTGCTGGAATTATCTACTAATGAACTAATGATCAATTAACGAAGTGCACATTGAGCTTTTTTCGGTGGGGTTGAGAAGTGTATATGAACACTGTATGGTGATCACAGAGTCATGTACACCTACCATTGAAAGCATCTTGTGTTGATCCTGAGAAATGACATACTCCTTACATTCTCTGTTCAACATCATGTAAAACTGGTTTAGGATTGATCATAGTTGGCAGGTATGAAAGATACAAGATTTATGCCTGTATCATTAAATAGAATGCCACTTCCTACAAATTCTATCGACTTTTTTTCCTGTTGTTTCTTTCAATAGTTTTGTGTTCTATGTGCCCTTTACTTTTCTTATGATTTTGATGATGTTATAGGAAGCACCTGCCTGTTGAATGGTTTGCAGATGAATTATAAACAATTTTACATTGTGGACAGGATCTTGCCGGGCACACAGGTGATGGGTCAGTTGACTTTAGAGGTTTTCCTATTTTAAAGCATAACACAGGGAACTGGAGAGCATGTTCATTGATTCTTGGTAAGAATTCAGTCAGAGCTTTCCGCTGAGAAATAACATGAACATTTTTTTTTCTTGAATGAAAACCAGTGGAATCATGTCACTGTAAACTTCTTTATGGAATCATAGGTCCAACTGACTTCTTAGTTTTTAGCACATGTAACTGATTTAAGTGGAAACCTTTGTTCACATTGTTGAACTTAAGAGTGTTTGTAAATCTATGATTCTTTGATGTGCTAAACATCAGAAACATAAGTTTCTCATACTTAGATCTAATATCATGTCCAATTGGAAATTGCCTTTCTGTTATATGATAGGAACTGAAGTATGTGAACGCTTGGCCTACTATGGAATCTCAAAAAGTTTGGTCACTTACCTTTCAAAAAGGCTACATGAAGGAAATGTCTCTGCTGCGAGGAACTTCACAACCTGGCAAGGAACTTGTTATCTTACACCACTTATTGGAGCAACCCTAGCAGATTCGTACTGGGGAAAGTACAGGACAATTGCTGTTTTCTCCACTATTTACTTTCTTGTAAGACACATATGTGCATTTATCTCAAGAAACTCGTAGTTGTGCCTTAGTGTCATGTTAATGTATTAATTTTTTTAGGGATTTTTAGGGAAGTTAATGTATTAAGTGCCCTAAAATAGTAGTATGTTGGCCTGCATTGGTATTTACTCATGGTTGAGAATTAAAGAAAGATTGGATAGTTTTGTTAAAAAAAAAGAAAGATTGGATAGATGTTCACATATAGCTTTTCGGCTATGACATAAGTAACTTCTTAATTGTTATGAGTGTTTAGTGGCATGATAGTTCGTTGAAAACATGCATGATGCGTCAATTGCAGACCTACTTGTCTTTCTCTACCTGTGAATTATGAATCTTTTATCCTGCTTAAGCACTTATTCCTGCAGATAGTCTATGCTAAGTGCTAACTACTTCTTAATGTGCATTTAATGAAGGGGATGGCGGCATTGACACTTTCAGCATCAGTTCCTTCTTTCCAGCCCCCTCAATGTGTTGGGTCTATTTGTCCACAACCGACATTACCTCAGTATCTTTTATACTTTGTTGGACTATACATGATTGCTTTGGGAGCTGGTGGTATAAAGCCATGTGTTTCATCCTTTGGGGCTGACCAATTTGATGATACTGATCCAGTTGAGAAAACAAAGAAAGGCGCTTTCTTCAATTGGTTTTATTTCTGCATAAATATTGGTTCTTTGATCTCTGGCACAGTTCTTATTTGGGTACAAGAGAATTATGGATATGGCATTGGATTTGGGATCCCTACTTTTTTCATTGCCTTGGCTATTGCAAGCTTTTTTATAGGTTCAGAAATATATAGATTTCAGATACCGGGAGGAAGCCCACTTACAAGAGCATTTCAGGTAGTTGTGGCAGCCACTCACAAGCGAAAAGCGGATTTGCCAGTTGATAGTTCTCTTCTCTATGAGCTAGATGGTAAGACTTCAGCTATTGAGGGGAGTCGTAAGCTGGAGCACAGTAGTGAATTCAGGTACTTTTCTTGGTTATCAGTGACAATTATTTTCCCTGTAAGATATATCCTTTTACGCAAAGAAGGAGAGAAGCATTAAGAAGTTGTGGTTTAGATTACATATTTGGGGAAAACATATATTCAAAGATAAAAGTTTACTAAAATGTATCAAATACAGATTTTCATTTATACTGCACTTTTGTTCTGACGTTGCATGCTTTTAAGCTTGTGTCTTGGAACGTCCTGGACACAGCAACCTTTTTCAGAACTATGAAAGGTAAGCATACACAGGATTTGTACATAAGCAGAGATTCGCATACTGTCCCAGTTGACACGTTCTCTTTCCTGAACAGTTTCCTTGACAAAGCTGCAGTCATTTTGTGGAATGAACGTGATGGTTCTCGCAATCCATGGAGACTTTGCACAGTCACACAAGTTGAAGAGCTTAAAATATTACTGAGGATGTTTCCAATCTGGGCAACAGGAATTGTGTTCTTCACCGTATGTGCTCAAAACTCATCGATGTTCATAGAACAGGGGATGGCCCTCGATAACCAAATTGGTCCTTTCAAGATTCCAGCAGCAACTCTGTCATCTCTAGATGTTATCAGTGTTGTTGTTTGGGTTCCAATTTATGAGAGGTTAGTTGTGCCCATAGCCAGGAGATTCAGTGGAAAAGAGAGAGGTTTCTCAGAACTTCAACGGATGGGAATTGGTCTATTTGTGTCTACAGTCGCAGTGGCAGTTGCAGCATTAGTCGAGATCAAGCGTCTGCAGGTTGCAAGAGCAGAGGATCTGGTTCATCAGAAGGTACCTGTTCCTATGAGCATCCTTTGGCAAGCACCTCAGTACTTGCTGGTTGGTGTGGGCGAGGTGTTCACATCAATTGGTCAAGCTGAGTTTTTCTACAATCAGTCACCAGACGCAATGAGAAGCCTATGCTCAGCTTTCGCTCTTGTTACTGTGTCACTTGGAAGTTATCTCAGCTCATTCATCTTGACCCTGGTGTCATTTTTCACAACTCGAAATGGGCAACTGGGGTGGATCCCTGATAACTTAAACGAAGGCCATCTTGACCGTTTTTTCTGGCTGATAGCCGGTCTCAGCTCTCTAAATTTCCTTGTTTTTATATGTTACGCTCAACAATACAAGTGCAAGAGAGCTTCTGTTGCTTAAAGTTCCGGGTTTCCTTTTCCTCTTTGCAATTTATTTATACAGCAAAGCTCTATGTACAATTTGTTTATGCTGAAATACTACAGTGCGTACGTAATCTCTTGTGTGGTGTACATTACTTCATCATCTTTTACTGGATGCAACATTACTTGGATAATAATGGAAACATAATGCATCATTTTTCCCCATAGCCATTTTTCCCTGAGGCTGTGTAGTGGAGGCATATGTACTTAACTAATGTACTTTGTTTCGATCATTCCATTACGGACCTGACCTGTTCATGTACTCCATCCGTTTCAAATTGTAAGTTGCTTTGGCTTTTCTAGATTTTTTTTTTTTGTATTTAGACATAGCATAAACTGTATTAAAAAACTTAAAACGACTTATGTTCCAAATTGTACCCTATTGAAACAGCTTCCAGGATTTGTGTGCTAATGCTTGTGGAACGCCGCCTATGCCAGATATCAAATTTAGGGGTGTCTATAAAACTATCTTAGAAGCCGTTTCAATAGTAACCATCTTATATACTAACGAATTGGAGGCTAAAAGAACCTTCATGTTAATCCTTAGGAGATGCTCTATGAAAAAAAGATAAATTATACACTTCCATCGATAGATTAAAAGTAAGCATAATGCTATGCATCACTATATAAAGAAATTAGACGTTCAAACATTGGATAAATAATTATTTTAATAGTTTATCGAGCGTGAAATTTTTCCCCATAACATTGATAATCACTTTAAATTATATTATAATACTCAACAATGATAACAAATTTTGTAAATTATTAGTTTAACTAAATTTATATATTTTAATTGAAATATTATGTCAAATTCATACATGTAATTTAATTTTAAGCACCGTATACACATGTAATTCTTTGCTATAACACAACATCTTGAGTGCCGTAGCACCGGCTGAAACGACGGTTTATACCATTGTAGAGTAAGGCTATAGTTTAGGACCTATAATCTTTTTTAATAAAATACAAAAGGAAATATTGAATTAAAACTACAATGAGCGCTTGTGTTTCAACTCAACAAGTGATACAAAATTTACGACATCTAATATTATTGAAAGTTGAAAGTTAAAATATAGTTTCATAATGTCACATAAAGGGATACAACAAGGGCTTATTTAATTTAAGTTCATGTTTCAACTAAATTTCATATTGAAGACCCAAATAGGTGTAATGCAAATGATGACAACACATATCTTAATATTATTACTAATTGGAGGCCCATGTTAATACGTACAAGATGTGTTAGAAAAAACATAATCCTAAAAATTATTAAAAATCAGAAAGATATGACTATCAACTTGGTAGACTCCTATCACCTCACTTCAAAGTTTACCATCGACCTTGAGTGACGTTCTATTGGAGTACTTAAAGTATAGTCCATGTTCTAAAATCATTATTTTTATTAAAATACAAAAAAGAGAGTTAATAAAAAATACAACAAGCACACGGATTTTAACTTAAACTTGATGATAAGAAGTCTGTAGCAACTTGAAAATCAAAATAGATTTATACGTCATGAGACATGTGCTGCAATAAGAACCATCATACCTTAAGGTAATATTTGAACTAAATGCGGATTGAAGATATTAGATGTGTCATGTAAAAAGGAAAAATGATAGATATGGACGAAAAAAATGAGTAGAAAGTAATTGTTAAGTTTATCATTGTTGGATAGAGATTACATAATAGCTATATACGTATTGCCTCATAAAATGAATAAAGAGAAAACCATGCAAATTAATTACTATAAGTAATTCTCCGCATGGGTTGAAGGCCTACCCTAGTGTGTATGCTAATTGCTATGGTAGAGATCAAATTCAGTTAGTTCTATAGCAGAGTCAAATTTAGTAACAGGTGGGAACATTAAAACCGATTCAAAAAATTATTTTGTCTGTTCAAAAACAAATTTGAAATTTGGCACATCCATAGTGCATATAAATATGTACTCACATGCAAAAGTTGAGTTGCAAACTCGCCTTAAATTATTTTGTCTGTTAAAAAAAATCTGAAATTTGGCACATCCATAGTGCATATAAATATGTACTCATATGCAAAAGTTGAGATGCAAACTCGCCTTTGAAATTTTAGGTCTAGATTTTGTCTTATAGTGCATATGCATCTAAAATTTATTATTTTTGTATGAAAATGTCTAGTTTAAGTTTGTATCTCAACTTTTGCACATAAGTATACATTTGTATGAACTGTGGATATACCAAATTTCATTTTTTTAGAATGATCAAAATATGTTGTTTGAATTAATTTTCATGTTTTCACCTAGTATGTGGTTTCAACCACATATTTTCACGAATAAACAGGCCTTTAGTGAACACTTCAAGGGTGTGGAAAGGACGATTTATCTGCCATCCTACGATATGGGCGAGATACCAGTAATGCGATTGAAAGTGAGATTGCAGATATCTGAGTCATGTTGGCTTGACCACCAAACCAATATGAAAAGGGATAACCCAATCTTGTGGCAGAAAGGAAAGTGACCCTAGGGTATGATTAGTTGTCTCAATTTTTCCGGGCTAGGTCCATGAGATGTGACTTATGCGTGTTTGGTTTGCTGCTCCAGCACTTGAACCTGGATCATCAGGTGCAAAAAGCGTCCTCCAACTTGGCTTTGGGGACACGAGGATTGTAGCTGTTTCTCTGTCAGGCTCACGGGATACGAATAATTAGCCATCTAGTAATATTATTAATGCATTATTAGCACATATAATGATATTAATATATTTCAATTAATATTAAGGAGTAATAAGATAAATTAAGAGTTATAAGGTAATAGTTGTATATAATAAACATCATGTCATCATGATGACGATTGTTTATATTTTTTTTATCTCATGTAACCTATTTTTATGTGAGCAAACAAACAGTTTTTTAGGACAATCTGACTCCAGGCAACCAAACGCCACGTTCTTGCATGCACTGACCCTATCGGACTGGCTACCAGCAGCCTGTAGATTTTTTAACACTTTTTTAAAACTATTTTTAAATTTAACATTGTTTATTTTTTTTAAATCTAACACTTTTGGCCACGCCTATTCACATGGCGCGGTGAAATCACGTTGTCATATCATATATGGGGGCGTGGTAGGAGCGATGACGTGGCAGCGACCAGGGCCGCTGAACGCTGATGTGGCCGGTGCTGCCGCGTCGCGGATCTAGGCGCGCCATGGAGAATGGCGCGGCAAGGTGGCGATCGATGCGCTGTCGGTTTGGTCAGTCATTCCAACTAGGGCTGAAAACGATAACGATAATTTCCGTTTACCGGGAATCGTTTTTGAAAAATTACCGACTTTTGCTCCTAAATGAAAGTGGTGACGGTAACCGAGGAAACGAAAATGAGAATGGTAAAACTATACGGTAATGAAAACGAAAATGATTTGCCTCACTTCCGACCGTTTTTGAAAAATACCGTAATTAGCCAGTATTCTACCGTCGATAATTACCAATCCCAGGCAGGCCATGAGCCCACAACGCCATCCCTGGCTCTTCCTGAATCATAGACTAGGCCCAGCCTACTGAGTGTTGAGCGCTCTCCTTGCTAGCCTTATCCCCACGCAAAAATCATGTCTCTTGCATTATTCCTCGTTTCTATCCTTTTTAAGGCCCAGTTCGCGTGCCCTTAAACCCAGCTTGATCCGCTTATTTTTTCATCTGGAACAGTGTTTTCCTCTCACAAATTCCTCCAGCATTCCTCCAAACCATCCAGATTCCTCCAGAATTCAGACAAGTCCAAGTATCGAACTAAGAACTTGGTTCGATTACGAGTGTACTGGTATGTAAGTTTGTGAGTGACTAATATGTCTATGTGGCTGT